AACGTCGGGCTCGGGGCGGGCCAGAGAATCCTGTAAACCTTTTCGGACCGGGTCGGGCTGGGGCTCCACACCCTCGGGCCGGGCCGGACACGGGCTCAGATTTTAGGCCCGTGCAGGGCTCTACTATGGAGCCCCGATTCATGGGGCAAGGCTTTTTCTTAACAACCTGCAGGGAAGAAATACTTTGAGTGAGTTTATTTATTTGTTCCTGCTGGAGCTTTAATAGCTTCTTTAACTCACTCAACTCAGTAGCTTGGGATGGATCAACTGCTGCCGGAGGACACTGCACCCCCATAAAATGCCTCCTGCAAAGCAACATAGCAGTCAGTGCACCCATACAGCTCCTGCAAAATAGTGGTTATTTTAGCTTGGTTCTCTCTATCACCCCTGGGACGAAACTTTATCTCCTCACGAGCCTCCCAGCTCAGGTGGTCAAACATAAAATATGCCTGGTCAACCCCAGACACATGACACACTCTCATGCACACCTGCACCTCCTAAGCCACTCAGGTAACCCCATGCCCCCTTTTCCACTAAAAACTGGACATTTACGCTCCCGGGGGATAAAAACCAGTTTCTCCTTTACAGGGACCTCAACGCTGGAGGAGCTAGGTTGAGGAGCGACTGCAGATGGAGAAGTAAACCTGCTTGTGCTGGCTGCAGCATTTTCTTGCCGCAACCGGTCATTTTCCATCTGTAACTGTTGGATCATGTCCTTCAGTTCCTGAACAGTTAGCTCCATCACTTAGCCCCAAGGGCTGGAACTGTATCACCTCAAAATAAAACTCTGCTGTTCTGATTCTCTCAACCCACTAAAAAAAACCAACAATAATAATAATAAAAACAACAAAATTGGTTAAAAAATCAATAAAAACAATTCCTATTAGCATGTGGCTGTGAGCCCACGTCTCTGCTTTTTTAAACTCGCAGAATCCTGCCAACAACGCCACCTTCCCCCCTCTTTCCACAAGCACGTCCTCGTGCTCCCACGCAGGGTGCCACAAACTTCACGTCCATGGACTTACTTGACAGTACTACATGGATCCTGCCGACAACGCCAAATGTGGCAAGGTGGAGAAATGAGAGCCCGGGCGGGATTCGATTCCCAGACTCGCGGGTGAGAGTCATGCGCGCTTACCAGTCAGCCAAAGGGACATCCCTTTAGCCAAGTAGCAAGGGCGCATGAGAGAGAATTATAAGACACCTTTCGTCAAACTTTTTGACAGGTCTATTGTTCTTTGACCTTTTTGACCTTTCAGTCCTATTGTTCATTTGACCCTTGACCTTGCCCCCCTTCCTATCATTAATCAAATGGACAGGTGTATTGTTCAATCTTTGCCCCCCCTTCCGTATCATTAATCAAATGGACATGTGTATTGTTGATCGTCCAGATGGCCTAGACCCCCCACGCCGCATCATCAATGGCGTATTGTTGATCGTGTCCAGATGTCCATGATCCCCACGTCATAGGCTAATGTGTGTAATGGCGTGTGAAGTTTCTTTTTGTGATAGCCCATCGGTTCCCACAGCCCCCCTCCCTTCTGAGTGTAATCCTATTGTGTATAACTCTTTAAAAGCTCAGATCTGTCCGAATGCTGAAAAGCCGACCTCTAAGAAAAAATGATGAACCACGAGGAGCTGAATGAAGCACCAAGCCACGCTGAAGAAGTGTCTGATATGTTCCTCACCTAAGTTCAACACACAGAAAGTTTTTGTCATCTAAATTGTACTGCAAATGCAGAGAAGCAATAAAAAGAAGGCCAGCCTCACCAGTGAGCAGAACCACATCAGTCTGACGCTGCACCCCTTACATTTACCAGCCCTTACTGGCACACCATATCAGTCTAACCTCGTGGACTTTTTATATCTAACATGACATGGGTCACTGACAGTGGATGAGTGCGGCCTAACTGCTGTGAATGACAGCCCCACACACTGGTCAAGTACGTATGAAATGGTTGTACGTCTCCTCAAAGTTAAAGAATCTGACTGTAGAATGGGATGTGTCTGCTTGCTCTCGAGTGAGTGGCAGAAGCTGAAGTCAATGCAAGAACTTTTGCAGCCTTTTGCTGAACACACACACAAACTCTTCAGAGTGACACATTGTCTATGTCATTAATACTCCCTGCTCTCTTTGATTTACTCAGCCATCTGGCAGATGTTCACAAAGTGCTTTTCTCCCAAATATTAGATATTTGGATTTCGTATGTTCAGTCTTAAACTTTGTGTTTAAATGTGTAAATATTTACATGCAGCTCACTGACACTTTTTGACCAGAACTAAAACTATTGTGTAAAACTTTCTGTCCAGCAGCACATCAGGCTGAATCATCAGAGGCTGTAAACACACACACACACACACACACACACACACACACACACACACACACACACGCATACATTTAAACCACTTTCCCCTTTCACGAAATGCATGACTCTCTCTAAGACAAGTAAAGAATTTGGGGTTACCAACTCTAATCAGCCATTCAGCCACACCTCTCCTTATACTTTACAACAAAATCACCCATCTCAACCACAAAGCATTTAACTTACTTATTGTTCTGCAGGTGGGCTTGTTTGAAAGAGTGCCAGGAAGTTGGTCAACAAAGAACTGTTGAGCTTTCTTAAAGCTCATTCTAAACAAGTTGGCACGGTGATACTCACAAAGCAAATGACTTACTATTGTTTCAAAGAGCTATTTAGGTGAACAGCATCCTTTGGTTCGTCATCATCAACACTGAAAGCTTAACCCCTCGCCTCCTGCCTTTAGTGTCACATTTTGTGACTTTTTGTTTCCACTGTCACACACACACACACACACACACACACACACACACACACACACACACACACACACACACACACAAAACATGAGTTAAAGATCAGAGCAGCTTCAAATCAGCTCACTGACTGTCAGTCATCCCACATGTGGCTAATATGACAAAACTTAAAGGTCTAATTTCACATGAAACTGTCATGGTGAATAATACTATTTATTCAATGAAAATAATTTTATAAATGAGTTGAGAACAAATTGTATGTTTTGTTTCTTTTTTCTTGAGGATTTATTGAACCACCTGTATTTGTGCACACGGATGAGGAAGTGCCGCAGTGCTTTTACCCTTTTAATATGAACAAATAAATCACTCTAGAATGAACATTTACATAAAATGAGTGTAAAAAAAGCACACGCCTCATTTGCTTGTACTTTAACCTTTATTAAGCAGAACTATTATTAAATGACCACAAAGTTGTTTAACTTTTATTTAAATGATCATTATTTTACTGATATTTACAAACAAATAAGAAATCTGTATTTTGGAAATAGGAAATATTAATCCGGCAACAATTTACAGGCATTTTAAAAGTTATTTCCATTATCTAGTTGCTTGGAAAATTGAACAACGACGTGATAAGTAGTATAAATTTGTAAAATAATCTGAAGTAAAATCAACTCTTAATGACAATTCTGAGTTAAAACCCCTAAATAGCTATTTGTAATTGTTTTCCACCTAAGAATAAAAGTTATTGTGTCAAAATGTAAAAGAATTTCCTCTAAAATATTGCAGTTAGACGAATCGCCCTCAGTGAGGGGAAGGGGTGTTTTGTGTAACTTGGTCACATGTCACCATAAACAAACTGCAGTTTGACACCTTCGCCTCAAGCGCAGACACGCTCCGGTCAGAAACTGTCCCCGCACCAGTTAGAGACGGGCAGCTATGGCGACTGTGGTGGACACGCAGGCTCAGTAAGTAAACACGCTACAGACAAAAGTTTACTTTTTAGCTGCTTGTTTAAGGATGAGACGCGATGCTAGCTTGCATCTCGTCATTTCATCTCCACCGATGGTTGCTGTAAATGTCACCAAAAACGTAATTTCCACTCGGTGTTTAAACTTTATTGCATTTATGTAAAGCAGCGCTTATTAATGCTCTGTCCGCACTTTATTTAGCTTTTACTAAATAAAAATAATATTAAAAGTAGAAATAATTTTAGCTGGAGCAGGAAGTTGCTTAGCTTGTGCGCGTGCCTGAGGGAGAGGCGCTCGAGCGCTGTATCATTTGTGCCGATGATTTAATAATCTACTTTCATGTCACACGAAAACAAAATTAAAGTAACTCGGAAGAGTTTCCAGCAAACGTAGGTTAGTAAAACGTACTGGTGTTTTTACCAGAGTTGTAACTACTAAATGAACCTTATCTGATACTAAATCCAACGATTCTTATAAATACTTCATTATAAAATCCCATAAAAGAATAACATGTTACAATGCATTTCCTTTAACCTTTTTATTTAGTAGGTTTCAAAGGAAAAATGCTGGTAAAATCTAGATGAGTAATTAATGACTCATGTCTGAAACTAATCTCGGCACAGGTGTTATTTAAACACCTTAAACTTTTTCCAATTTAAATAGAAATATCGTTATGAAGAATATGTGAAAGTCTTTGTGATCAGCTGTGATTTTTTTTTTTTTTTGCTGTTTTAGGGCATTTAGATCTTTCTAAAAAAGTTTTCAGTTCAGAGCAGACCTGTTTTAGGATCTTTGCTTGCTTGTTCATGAGATGCCTGCAACATACAGTCCTGTGTAAATCAGTATGTTATGATCACTAACAGGAAGTTAGAAGACAACAAAAGAAAATCATAATATTTTTAAAAAGAAAAGACCCTTTTTTTTGCATCGACATTTAGAGTCAGCCCAAAGATAATTATTTTTGAAGAAATCCCTGTATTTCTTTACTTTTATTCATCAGTAAAAGTGTTTTTGCAAAGAAAACTATAGATTTTTATTCAGGGGAGACATGTTCTTTTTACTCAAGTGTGTTAAAAAGAAGCAAATATCTAAAGCCCTTGGTAATGATTCATTTTACATTACAAATTAACGATATTTAGCTAATTCAGGTTTCACCCTTTTGCATCAGGTTTGTCTAAGTGGCTGTGTCTCCCATAGCAGTTATTTTTTATATTACCGTTTTAATTAATTCCTTTTAGCTTTTCTAGAGTGCACAGAAATTTCTGGAGGACTTCATGCAAGTACTGTGTTTCTGAGATTGTATGAATTTAATTAAATATTTTGTGCTTTCAGGCCACAAGTAGCTCTATGTCTTCTTCCCCCATAAAATCCTGTCTCCACATGAGAAAGAAGCTCTTCAGGCTCTCACTGTCGGTAACCAAACTTCACATAAACATACATACAGATGATGCAGGTTCACCAACTGGCAGATCTCACTTTAACACATTAGACTTCAAATTTTAAATTAATCTTTTTATATTGTTTGAACAAGACAAATATCAATGGCATGATTTTCATCAGTATTTTGATGTACAGTATCTGTTTTTAATCAAAGGTCATCATAGTACCTCCAATGATTTAGTCCATTTCCTGTTGAAGAGAGCAATCTAGTGATTAGCACTAAATTACTGCATGAGCAAGAAAAATGAGGAATAAATCTGCTGAGAACTTACACCGTTTGATACCGTGATTCTGCTGTGAATCGTAACTTTTCAAGGGTGCCGTGAATCGCATCATGTGACATTTAAGGCTGGTTAACCACACTTCCAACGTGTTTGGAGGTAACGATAATATTCTCTTTGATGCTTTCCAGGTTCTGGAGGCTTGTATGAACAATTGTGGAAAGCGGTTCCGCAGCGAGGCAGCTAAGTTTCGCTTTCTGAATGAACTTATCAAAGTCTTAACGCCAAAGGTAACTCACAGGTGTCATAGACCCACTAACATAAATCAGTGCAGTTAATAAACGTATCTGAAAACCTATCTGGTCCAAGTTTAACACAGTTTTTTCACTTTGAAAAGTAGATAGTTGATGTTTAATTTGTCCTTTCAAAATAAGCTTTTTTTATTACTCAATTCATTTGAGTTTAGTTCTTCAAAAAAAAAAAAAAGCTCAATATGAAGATTTGTGTAACATACTTTATTCATCATAAAGATAGTTTACTGTTGTAGTAAAAACAACCAATGTGCTGAACAATATTCCAAAGCTACAGCAAATTATAAATGAAAACCTAAACTTCGAGGATGAACTGATTCTGGTTTTTAGAGCCGATACCGATTTGTGATTCTTGTGTAGTTCTGACCTGCCAAAACAGATGTATTTCAAAGAACTACTGCTTTAAATTTCTGATGATTTTGAAAATGATTTTTCTGGAAGTAAAACAGAGTCTGATTAGTAAGACTGTTGATCTGATGTCCATTTTCAATGTTGTGAGTGACCAGAAAAAATGAAAAAATATCCTTGTTGTCTCAATAGTTGTGAAAGAGACCTTAAAAGAAAAATACTTTCTTAACATAATTTCTTTTTCTATAAATCTTGGTATTTAAATTATGGTTCGGTTAAATAAGGAATCTAACTGTTTTGTAATTTTTATGCATTTCAGTCAGATCAGCATAGTTTAATTATCATCACCTACTGATTTCAGTCCTTTGGCGCGTGGAGTCCACAGAAAGTTAAAGACAGAGTGACGGAGGTCTTCTACGGCTGGACGCTCTGGCTTAAAGAGGAACCTAAGATTCAGGAAGCCTACAACATGCTGAAGAAACAAGGTGAGGGACAACACTAATCGTGATTTTTTTTCTGCAGGATTTTGCCAACCTGAGAAATACCACATTAAAAATTAATGTTATGTTTACCAAAACTAAGAAAATTTTCAAGAATAAAATCCTCTCATCTCTCTTGTGTTAGGCATCGTGAAGAAGGATCCCACACTTCCAGACACAGTTGTTATGGCTCCTCCGCCTCAAAGAACCACAGAGTCTGTTTTTTGATCAAGACGACAAGGCCAAGGTGACAGACCGGAGTAACTTTAAAACAACACACTCTATTTTATTTGTTCAACAATTCTGTGTTTAACTTAGATGTTGGTTAGACTACTGAGGAGTGGCCATCCTGAAGACCTGGAAACCGCCAACAGGCTCATTAAAAGCACCATCCAGGAGGCGAGGAGCACTGCAGCACTGCTGGTCCTCATATTTGATTTAATGGTGGTATGGATGAATCTTTGGATGAATCTTCGGTTGTGTCTTAGGAGCAGGAAAAGGCTGAGAAAGTGTCAAAGCGAGAGTCAACCCTGATGGAGGTTGAGAGCAGCACCAACCAGCTGAGAGAGCTTCTGTATCAGCACATCGATAATGAAACCTCGTTACAAACCAGTGATGACGTGAAGGCATGTTGCGTTTCAAACTGATGTTTGTTAATAATATCCGACTGTTAACAACAAAAATTACTTACCAGAGTCTTACTCCACCCACACTTCTTTTTTGATATTTCATCACTGTTTTGGGTCTGTTACAGATCTTGGCTGAACATTTGTTATTTTATTGTAAATTTCAGATATGCCATGTATTTAAAATGTTCAAATAAGTGTAACCGTCAGTACTGTTATGACATATTTCCATTAACACTAACAAGCTTCCGGTTTCACTCTGTAACCAGTTGCCACCCTCAGTTAGGCTGTCCCCATATCTGCCGGTCTTTAAGAGTTGCCTAAAACCCCACCTCCTCCGCTCGACGTTCCCCTGAACGTGTTTGAGGTCGGCCTTCTTTTTTGTTGATTTTATTTCCCTGTTTTCATTGGTGTTTCTATCCCTTGTTTTATCCATTTGTTTCTACTTTTAAATGTTTTACCTTTTTTGCACTATTTGAATTGCTTTTATTATCTATTTATTCATTGTGTTTCACATTTCTTATGTACTGTGTTCAGCGCCTAGGGCTTCCTGACAGGGTTTCGGAAGGCGCTTTATAAATAAAGCTCTGATTGATTGATTTGATTTACCTTGACATTCTGACCATAAACATTAAATTGCTCACTCTTGCAGTTTTAAAGAGTCTCTTATTTATTAATTCACAGCACTCTTAAGTAAACCTAAAACTTAAAATAAAAGGCCTAATATTCCTGGAACAAAACTTTATATACAGCAACTTTTATAACAAAACTGAAATATTCACTTCATCTATTAATATAAGATGATGCCAGTCCAACATTTTGGAATAAGAATTGAAAATAATTATATTTATCATCTTGCACACTCCCAGCTGTTTTGAATGGCAAACCTATGAACACACCGAATTTTAAGTTAACACCTGTGAAATCGAATGGCTTGTAGCCATTTTGCTAATGAATTGTCCTGCTTGCTCAGTCTCTTGTAGTTGTTGCGTCCTTTGGTAGGACACTTCACCCTTCCGGTCTGCTGGTACCCCTTATGAGGGGTGGGCGGGCCCCACATATTACATATTATGTTGTCAGGAATTAAGAGTTAGACTACATCGGGTATCGATAAACAAAAAGTCAATATCGAACACACTTTCTCAAAACTAATTACCAAATTATGGAGTTACACTACATATAAACACCTGCAAACTTGCATCCAACATGGACTTTCTGGGAGTTGGGTGTGTGTGTTTATTTTCAGATCTTACAGCGTATTTATATGTAGTGTAACTCCATAATTTGGTAATTAGTTTTGAGAAAGTGTGTTCGATATTGACTTTTTGTTTATCGATACCCGATGTAGTCTAACTCTTAATTCCTGACAACATAATATGTAATATGTGGGGCCCGCCCACCCCTCATAAGGGGTACCAGCAGACCGGAAGGGTGAAGTGTCCTACCAAAGGACGCAACAACTACAAGAGACTGAGCAAGCAGGACAATTCATTAGCAAAATGGCTACAAGCCATTCGATTTCACAGGTGTTAACTTAAAATTCGGTGTGTTCATAGGTTTGCCATTCAAAACAGCTGGGAGTGTGCAAGATGATAAATATAATTATTTTCAATTCTTATTCCAAAATGTTGGACTGGCATCATCTTATATTAATAGATGAAGTGAATATTTCAGTTTTGTTATAAAAGTTGCTGTATATAAAGTTTTGTTCCAGGAATATTAGGCCTTTTATTTTAAGTTTTAGGTTTACTTAAGAGTGCTGTGAATTAATAAATAAGAGACTCTTTAAAACTGCAAGAGTGAGCAATTTAATGTTTATGGTCAGAATGTCAAGGTAAATCAAATCAATCAATCAGAGCTTTATTTATAAAGCGCCTTCCGAAACCCTGTCAGGAAGCCCTAGGCGCTGAACACAGTACATAAGAAATGTGAAACACAATGAATAAATAGATAATAAAAGCAATTCAAATAGTGCAAAAAAGGTAAAACATTTAAAAGTAGAAACAAATGGATAAAACAAGGGATAGAAACACCAATGAAAACAGGGAAATAAAATCAACAAAAAAGAAGGCCGACCTCAAACACGTTCAGGGGAACGTCGAGCGGAGGAGGTGGGGTTTTAGGCAACTCTTAAAGACCGGCAGATATGGGGACAGCCTAACTGAGGGTGGCAACTGGTTACAGAGTGAAACCGGAAGCTTGTTAGTGTTAATGGAAATATGTCATAACAGTACTGACGGTTACACTTATTTGAACATTTTAAATACATGGCATATCTGAAATTTACAATAAAATAACAAATGTTCAGCCAAGATCTGTAACAGACCCAAAACAGTGATGAAATATCAAAAAAGAAGTGTGGGTGGAGTAAGACTCTGGTAAGTAATTTTTGTTGTTAACAGTCGGATATTATTAACAAACATCAGTTTGAAACGCAACATGCCTTCACGTCATCACTGGTTTGTAACGAGGTTTCATTATCGATGTGCTGATACAGAAGCTCTCTCAGCTGGTTGGTGCTGCTCTCAACCTCCATCAGGGTTGACTCTCGCTTTGACACTTTCTCAGCCTTTTCCTGCTCCTAAGACACAACCGAAGATTCATCCAAAGATTCATCCATACCACCATTAAATCAAATATGAGGACCAGCAGTGCTGCAGTGCTCCTCGCCTCCTGGATGGTGCTTTTAATGAGCCTGTTGGCGGTTTCCAGGTCTTCAGGATGGCCACTCCTCAGTAGTCTAACCAACATCTAAGTTAAACACAGAATTGTTGAACAAATAAAATAGAGTGTGTTGTTTTAAAGTTACTCCGGTCTGTCACCTTGGCCTTGTCGTCTTGATCAAAAAACAGACTCTGTGGTTCTTTGAGGCGGAGGAGCCATAACAACTGTGTCTGGAAGTGTGGGATCCTTCTTCACGATGCCTAACACAAGAGAGATGAGAGGATTTTATTCTTGAAAATTTTCTTAGTTTTGGTAAACATAACATTAATTTTTAATGTGGTATTTCTCAGGTTGGCAAAATCCTGCAGAAAAAAAATCACGATTAGTGTTGTCCCTCACCTTGTTTCTTCAGCATGTTGTAGGCTTCCTGAATCTTAGGTTCCTCTTTAAGCCAGAGCGTCCAGCCGTAGAAGACCTCCGTCACTCTGTCTTTAACTTTCTGTGGACTCCACGCGCCAAAGGACTGAAATCAGTAGGTGATGATAATTAAACTATGCTGATCTGACTGAAATGCATAAAAATTACAAAACAGTTAGATTCCTTATTTAACCGAACCATAATTTAAATACCAAGATTTATAGAAAAAGAAATTATGTTAAGAAAGTATTTTTCTTTTAAGGTCTCTTTCACAACTATTGAGACAACAAGGATATTTTTTCATTTTTTCTGGTCACTCACAACATTGAAAATGGACATCAGATCAACAGTCTTACTAATCAGACTCTGTTTTACTTCCAGAAAAATCATTTTCAAAATCATCAGAAATTTAAAGCAGTAGTTCTTTGAAATACATCTGTTTTGGCAGGTCAGAACTACACAAGAATCACAAATCGGTATCGGCTCTAAAAACCAGAATCAGTTCATCCTCGAAGTTTAGGTTTTCATTTATAATTTGCTGTAGCTTTGGAATATTGTTCAGCACATTGGTTGTTTTTACTACAACAGTAAACTATCTTTATGATGAATAAAGTATGTTACACAAATCTTCATATTGAGCTTTTTTTTTTTTTGAAGAACTAAACTCAAATGAATTGAGTAATAAAAAAAGCTTATTTTGAAAGGACAAATTAAACATCAACTATCTACTTTTCAAAGTGAAAAAACTGTGTTAAACTTGGACCAGATAGGTTTTCAGATACGTTTATTAACTGCACTGATTTATGTTAGTGGGTCTATGACACCTGTGAGTTACCTTTGGCGTTAAGACTTTGATAAGTTCATTCAGAAAGCGAAACTTAGCTGCCTCGCTGCGGAACCGCTTTCCACAATTGTTCATACAAGCCTCCAGAACCTGGAAAGCATCAAAGAGAATATTATCGTTACCTCCAAACACGTTGGAAGTGTGGTTAACCAGACTTAAATGTCACATGATGCGATTCACGGCACCCTTGAAAAGTTACGATTCACAGCAGAATCACGGTATCAAACGGTGTAAGTTCTCAGCAGATTTATTCCTCATTTTTCTTGCTCATGCAGTAATTTAGTGCTAATCACTAGATTGCTCTCTTCAACAGGAAATGGACTAAATCATTGGAGGTACTATGATGACCTTTGATTAAAAACAGATACTGTACATCAAAATACTGATGAAAATCATGCCATTGATATTTGTCTTGTTCAAACAATATAAAAAGATTAATTTAAAATTTGAAGTCTAATGTGTTAAAGTGAGATCTGCCAGTTGGTGAACCTGCATCATCTGTATGTATGTTTATGTGAAGTTTGGTTACCGACAGTGAGAGCCTGAAGAGCTTCTTTCTCATGTGGAGACAGGATTTTATGGGGGAAGAAGACATAGAGCTACTTGTGGCCTGAAAGCACAAAATATTTAATTAAATTCATACAATCTCAGAAACACAGTACTTGCATGAAGTCCTCCAGAAATTTCTGTGCACTCTAGAAAAGCTAAAAGGAATTAATTAAAACGGTAATATAAAAAATAACTGCTATGGGAGACACAGCCACTTAGACAAACCTGATGCAAAAGGGTGAAACCTGAATTAGGTAAATATCATTAATTTGTAATGTAAAATGAATCATTACCAAGGGCTTTAGATATTTGCTTCTTTTTAACACACTTGAGTAAAAAGAACATGTCTCCCCTGAATAAAAATCTATAGTTTTCTTTGCAAAAACACTTTTACTGATGAATAAAAGTAAAGAAATACAGGGATTTCTTCAAAAATAATTATCTTTGGGCTGACTCTAAATGTCGATGCAAAAAAAAGGGTCTTTTCTTTTTAAAAATATTATGATTTTCTTTTGTTGTCTTCTAACTTCCTGTTAGTGATCATAACATACTGATTTACACAGGACTGTATGTTGCAGGCATCTCATGAACAAGCAAGCAAAGATCCTAAAACAGGTCTGCTCTGAACTGAAAACTTTTTTTAGAAAGATCTAAATGCCCTAAAACAGCAAAAAAAAAAAAAAAATCACAGCTGATCACAAAGACTTTCACATATTCTTCATAACGATATTTCTATTTAAATTGGAAAAAGTTTAAGGTGTTTAAATAACACCTGTGCCGAGATTAGTTTCAGACATGAGTCATTAATTACTCATCTAGATTTTACCAGCATTTTTCCTTTGAAACCTACTAAATAAAAAGGTTAAAGGAAATGCATTGTAACATGTTATTCTTTTATGGGATTTTATAATGAAGTATTTATAAGAATCGTTGGATTTAGTATCAGATAAGGTTCATTTAGTAGTTACAACTCTGGTAAAAACACCAGTACGTTTTACTAACCTACGTTTGCTGGAAACTCTTCCGAGTTACTTTAATTTTGTTTTCGTGTGACATGAAAGTAGATTATTAAATCATCGGCACAAATGATACAGCGCTCGAGCGCCTCTCCCTCAGGCACGCGCACAAGCTAAGCAACTTCCTGCTCCAGCTAAAATTATTTCTACTTTTAATATTATTTTTATT